ATAGAAGCTAGATGTGAGATAGCGATAGACGCTCGCGTATCACCACAGATCTGAAGACTGATCAGTTGCTCAGACGCTCTCGCAAGCTTCGAAGCGTCATCTAGGTCATCTTTATCGCCCGTCCTCGGAATGACGGTCTGTAAAGACTGTGATCTGCCCTGAAAGTGCTTGTAACTTGTGCAGGCCACTGGATGTATGAATGTGAGATTGGCGGCCTGGGTTCCGTCGACTCCAGTGATGCGGACCTAGACACAGAGACAGTGCATGATGCTGAGCAATCGCCACTGCCAGCCTCGTCCGTGGCAGTCAATGGAGCACGACAAGACAGGCCCCCCATACCAGCACCACGCCGAGCAGTTTGCGCATTCAAAAGCAAGCGCCTCGTACCCTCGAACGGCCGTCGACTGCGCTTCGCGGCACGACGGCCTTGGCTGTGTTAGCCACAGAGCCAACTTACGTTCCGCCGGAGCACAAATGTGCATGCATGACCACTCGGCCGGCTGGGCCCCACCCACCTCGAGACCAACAAGGTAACCTTTCCCCCGTCTCGAGAGTCTCGCGCACCCTGGCTCGCTCCCTTCAGGGACTTCCACGACAGAGCTCGGTACGTACGCGAGCGTTCTGTCAAGAAGCGCGGTACGTGCGGGTCCGCATGGTGCCCTGCAAGGTGCACCCAACTGCGGACGACAGGGGAGGTGTGCTCCGTAATCTACTTCTTGCTGTTGATGCTTCAGGCGACGTGCCCCCCATCGGGGCCTGAATAGGCCTTCCCAGTACCACGGTCTATGGGGATATTCGTTGTTGGGTAATGTACACTCCTCCAGCTCTGGCCAGTTTTTGATCCGTGACGAGATTCCAATGGATTGAGATGAACTGCGGGACGGGCAGGAATCGCCCGCTGTACTCTCGGTCTCTGCAAGATGTCCGTGCCACGCGGTGACTATCATTGATGGCTACTCCCTGGTGCAAGGGAAGTCACAAAACCCGGCCAACATGGTTTTCCACCTTTGTGCGTGGGCCGTGAGTAACATACCAACCTAACTGGCGCAGTCCTCCTGCAAAGCGCTTGCCAGGCTTCATCTCCTTAGACCATGGGCTTGTCAAACCAGAGTAGTGCCGCGACTCCCGGACAACAACGCCGATCTGGTTAACAGTGTGAGCACGAAACGGCCACGTGCTGCCTCGAGACCAGCGACGCAAAGACATCAGGCAGCGTGCGGCTCTCTGCGCGTGCTTCGGAGCCCACGCCCGCAGCATACCGCCTATCTTCTACCAGTCAAGATCTCGAGAGGAAATGAGAGTCGAAGTCTCGGACACCATTCGCCTCCATGGCAGGGTCTACAGGGCAGCAAACTTGTGTGACACATGGCCGAGGTTGGCGATATCGAGCCTGCTACATGTGGTGTTGGAGACAGCGTGAATGCACTCGCCACTTGCACTGTGATGACTAATTAGCAGCTGGCCGAAGGGGCTTTGACGGTGTACGGACCCAAATGTTGATGCTGTCCAGGGTCAGTGGTAGACACTGACAAGAAGAGCCTTAGAATACGCTGCTATCCGCACTATTCAAATTTCAATGTCGTTTGCAAGCAGGCCACTGCAGCCATGATCAGATGCTTGAAGAAGCTCAGCACGGCAGCAGTACGTGCACAAGAGGAATTGGCATACTTCGCAATGCGCATACGCGTATCCGAGGGGGTTGTTTATTGGAACAAACATCACAGATGGCGCGCGCGGTTGTGATGTTACCGCATTCTGAACTTGCCGACAGTGGACAATCACAGCCCCGGACCCGAAAACCATGATGTTTGGTCAGCAAACCGATCGCAAATTACTCCCTCACCGGCCTGAGAAACGACGTGATTACGCATTGCGTCGCTTGCAGCAACACCAATACAAAGCCCTCTACGGTGCGTTCAGTATGTCAGAGGGGGAACGGCAACAAACAATTGGGCTTTGTGTCTCGAATTGTGACTGTAGATACCGCATGTGGAGCGGCCCAGCCGCCTCCAACGGAAAATTGCATCTGCACCATCGTGATCACGGACGCAAACCTTAGCGTGCCGTATACAATAGTTAGACAAGCAAGCACAACGGCGCGGACGAGTGTGCCCGACTTACTAGTCAATTGGAGTACTTTCGGAAAAACCTAACCATCACTGTGATCAGTAAAAGCCAACATAGGATGACATGATGCGTCTCGCAGGTTCACTAGCTTGCTTGGTCTGGGAGACCATCGTGACTGATGGTACGTGGATGGACGTCAAGCCTCAAAGCGTTGGCTGTGATCTGACCGAAGGAACACGAAGAGCAGACAGCTCGCCGGCCTTGGTGGGTCCAATCAAGCTCGGTATTGGGTGTTTTACTATGATGGGCAGGAAGATCTTAGCGCAGTCGCAAGGTGGAGTGGTGCGTCCTCCCTTGTTCTCCATCTTGTGGCGACCGTTGGTTAGGATCGGGGGGTCGACTTGGCAATAGGTTAGATGTTGGGGTAGCAATCGTGTTGGTTATAACCGGCCGATGTCGAATTGACAGAATATAACAGATTGAACATGTAGCTTCCCGACTGCTTGCAACGAAAATGGATAGCGAGCGGTCAGGCCAAAAGAGAAATAAAGAAGGGGGAAAAAGCATAAAAGCCCGTAGTTGCGCGCCACGAAAGCAATATGGAACTCATCAGAAGACATTCAGACAAAACCATTGCTCTGCCCCCTCCATCTGATGTCGACACCGATCCACTCATTCCACGGTCGGAACCCACCACCGTTCCGCCCGCGAGTCTTTCTTAGACCCGGAGTTCCGTCTCTTCCATCGATCATCCCCACATACCCGGGGCTGCAGGTAGGCCAATCTCTCCATCAACCCCATACTGTCATGAACTAGCCTAACGGTCGCGAATAGAGATGCACCATGTGTCTTGACCCCAATTGCGAGGCTCGAACTGGGCTGCACTACATGTGGAACGCGCAGCAGTACCTGTCGAATGCACAAAAAGAGCTGGTTTCCATACATCATGAGCGTTGCCGTGTAAATGAAGAACACTGGGACATTTTCCGTCTGCCCATTGTGCTTCCGGCTCACGATGTCAGCCGAGAGTGTCGAAGCAGATATTATCGTGCTCTGGGTCTGGCGACTCGGACGCACCATCTCGAACAGCGCGAGCGTGTGTTGCGAGAGGGCTGCCGGAAGGCCCATCAAGCTTTGCTGACTCAGTTGGCCAGGTTTGGAGGAATCAATGAAATCTCAGCCATCGCAACCGAATCGGAGATGGGACCACAAGGGCAGCCCCGAAAGCGCCGCAGAACAAACGACGCGTAAACTTTCTAGCCTTTGTTTGCACCTGCTGGTCGCGTAGGTGAAGGGCAGTCCCATGGGTGCCGAGACGTGCTTTGTACGGATTCGATGTGCGGAAGCTGAGGAAGGCACTTGCGCAACAAACACATGGGCCAGTGTTGAAAGTTCTTAGATACTGTGTACCACGTCCCCAGTACGTTTTGCCTAGATGGAAAATTGAACAGAAAAGTTGTGTCATGTACGGAGTACTCTGCCCAAAGCTGGATGCCCCCTCCCCCCATTCTTTTGCTCCTTTCATGTCATCCCTTGCTCTCGACGTTAGCTTTGTTAGACACTGGTGTTGGTCGCATGCCCACCTGATATGGTGTTCGTATCTGGCGGGCCACATATGTATTCGTCAAAGTCGCTCGGTTGGAAGGAAAATTGGCCGTTATCTGTCATGGCTCTTGTCAGGATAGCGGTGGCATCCATAAATGACTGGACCGAAATCCAAGTGCTGAGTCCCTCACACCTTCATTTTGGCTTTTGGCGCAAACCCTTGTCTGGCCCCTGCGTAAAGACGGGGGTTGACAGGCTGCGCATAACGGATCATGCCACAATAACGACGATTGTTCTCATAGTTAAGTCGCTTTCCCTTAAGGGGAGCGTACTGGATGTTTCCGGTGCTCCACATAGTGCCATCTCTTAGGAAGCGATGTGCATCCACATCCACCTCAATACCTCTCTGCCAATGCGCACTCTAACTCATCGTGATAGCTCCACAATTTAGTCTAGATCAGGCAGCGACCGCCATATTTAGAGTTTTTGAAGCACATTGCATTTCTTGACCTCAGAAACGCTGGTCATAAATGCAGAAAACGAAGCAACAAATGGTCATGATTGTTCACTAGTGGGGTAAGGCCCGGCCACGCTGGATTTGATGCCTTCACGGCCGTTCTGGATGTCTTTGAGAATCGAAGGTAGGCTTTTCTCTCTGAGGAGAGCGTGACCCGGCTTAGTCAGAATAGCGATTGTTCCACGGCTGGCGATGACCAATGAGGACCAGGCTTTTTACGCGGGAGATTCACCCTCCACTGAGCCCGAGATCATCCTCAAATGCTGCGCGGTTGCAGAGGATTTGCCGGTAATAGCCCGCATGTGAGCAGTCTCTTGTCGTTGAAGAAAGTGATAAGGTTCAGACACTCCACCTTGCTGAAACGAACCTCGAGGAACACATCGGGCTTTGTTATCACACCAAGCGTTCGGACCTTCGTCGGGTCTTGCTCCTTTGCCTTCGTCATGTCAAATTGATCAGCTAGCAGATCGTTGGTAGAGATGGCAGCCAGAAAGATGCTGTTCGACTATCGCATGGAGCTTTCCACGAGCTCCAACGGTCAACACGTCCTCACTTGCTGGCGCCGCGGACGACGAGTGGAAAACACCAGGCAGGTCGACCAAAGAGGACAAAAGTCCGACCCTGTACTGTAATCTGAGGCGCAGAAGGCCCTTAACATCTGAGAGACCATCTGCTTCCTTGATTCGTTGATCTGTTTGCCTTCGCATCCATGTCAACACTTGCAGCGAGTGGGGTGGTCTGCTGTCATCCGCGCATCGAATTATCGCATTGATGGATGGATAGTCACGAAGAATCCTCTCAGCTACAAGTCGAGTGCAAGCGCCCTCATAAGCCGGGAGATGAACATAAGAGATGGCTTCAGGCACAGATGGTTTCGAGGATGACTAGGCTCCGACAACGATGCTTTGCGGAAAGTCATCGATCTTGCCGGCGCCCAGAGAAGAGTGCGCCGTAAAGAAACCTCGTCTCGGCGCGGCTCAAATCTTCAAGAACTGAGCGAATGACGACAGAGCCTAGTATATTGAGTGTGTGGTTACGATTGAAGGCTTGCAGGATGTTTGGTCGAAGTGAACGCCGTTACAGTTGTGGTGCTTTCCGCGCTGTGTGCCAGACCCAACAAGCGGCTGCCATGGCAGCGTCACAGCGAC